ATAATCTATAATCTATATAAATCTAAATATATATATGTATATTTATCTATATATCCATACATATCTGTATCTACATATCTATATCTCTCTATATCTACCTCCATCTCCACCTCTATCATCTCCACCTCTATCATCTCCACCTCTATCATCTCCACCTCTATCATCTCTACCTCTCTGTCATGGAGGGAAACCTGAAGTCCCAACACAACTGGTTTCAGCCAGGGCTCCAGGGACACCAGCCCCAGTTTCCACCCTGTTGAACTGGTTCCTAAATGGTCGATCTGGTGATGCTTCTGGTGGAGTTCGACTCCTCTCTGCATGGATCTACAGCAGATCCCAGGGAATATCTTCACATTTCCTCCAAGTTCCAGGGCAGTGAGGATGGGTGCGCTTTGGCCCATGTGTCACTTTTAAATATATATATTCTTTTTTTTAACCAAATTCCTGACTCTGCCACCCCAGAGCTGTGGCCTCCTCTGCCAGGCACTTACTGAACATCTCACATCTCCAATGCTGTTTCTTTGGCCTTTCGCTGAGTGCCAGCTCGGGAGCAGGCGATCAGTGCTGAACCACCTCTAACAAAATAAAGTGCAATAAACCAAACTGAATACACCCCAAAACCCAGCTGGCAGCAAAAGGTGAACCAGAATATATTGGTTATTTCTGCACTTCAGCTCTGGATGGAAAGGTAGCATCACTTGAAGGGGAAGCTTCTCCCCAGTAACAAGTGATGGGATGAGAGGGGACGACCTCAAGTTGCACCAGGGGAGGGTTAGATGGGATCTTAGGAAAAGTTTCTTCACTGAAAGGGTTCTCAGGGACTGGCAGGGGCTGCCCAGGGCAGTGGTGGAGTCTCCATCCCTGGAGGGGTTCAGGAAGTGGTGGATGTGGCACTTGGGGACATGGTTTGGTGGGGTTGGGTTGGTGTTGGATTTGATCTTAAAGGTATTTTCCAGCCTTAATGACTCTGTGGTTCAGTCCCCAAAGGGCTCTGTGTGCTCTTGATGTAGTCCCAATTTGGGATGTTCTGTGTCCCACCGACTCCCCAGCCTATGGGGGCTTCATACCCACCACCCCCAGCCTCACATCCCCAGTGTCCCCCATTAATATCCTCCTTGAGGGTATTGCTCCCTGCCCGTGGCAGGGGTTGGACTGGATGAGCTCTAATGTCCCTTTCATCCCAAACCATGCTGTGATTTGATGATTTTACCACATTAACGGGGCTCTGCCTTTTGCAGTACCCCCAGGAGGAGGCCATGGGTCCGAAGATCCCAGCCCAGATCCGGGTCCAGCTCTGGTTTGGGCTCTCTGTCGACGAGAAGGAGTTTAACCAATACGCCGAGGGAAAGCTCTCTGTCTTCGCCGAAACTGTGAGCATCTCACAGGGACCACCCTAAAGGGGTTTTATTTTGTCAATCCAGCATGGGCATTGCCTCCATCATGGAGGAGAGGGGGTGGGCAGGATGTTGAGGGGTCACATCAGCCCCTACCAACCATAAGAAGCCATTTCCATCAGCATCCAGCTTGAAAGGCTGAGGAGAAGGTTGATAATGAGCCTTAAAGCCACATCATGGCTTTGCACCTCCTTCTGCCTGCTGGGGGGCAAAAATGGGGGTGTCCATGGGGATGGGGGGCTGGTTTTGGCATTATGAGGCTTTTCCTAGGAGATGTCTCCTTGGGATGGGGCTGTCCAGAAAGGAAGGGATTATTCATGGGATTTCAGGAGGATTATTCATGGGATTTCAGAAGGATTATTCATGAGATTTCAGAATTATTCATGGTTTTTGGTGCCTTCACCGCAACAACCTCACTGGTTTTGCTCCCACAGTATGAGAACCAGACCAAGCTGGCGCTGGTGGGGAACTGGGGCACCACCGGCCTGACCTACCCCAAATACTCAGACGTCACCGGCAAGATCAAGCTGCCCAAGGACAGCTTCCGCCCCTCCACGGGCTGGACCTGGGCCGGGGACTGGTTCATCTGCCCGGAGAAGACGTGAGTGGTGGTTTTCTGCAAAATAGCAGAGCCTGGGCACCCCAAAAACCTCAGCAGATGCTACGCTGGTGGCAAGGGCACCCAGAAAGATGGATGATGGAGGTCTGGGGTGCCATGGGGGTTCCTCATCCCATATGTAGGCAACGTTATTAATACAAAATGCATCGTCTCTGTGCTGGGTGATGTCCCTGGGGTGATGCACGGGCGCTCATGGACACCATGGCCCCAGCACCCAGGGAGTAGGGGGGCACCCCCTGACGCTGTGCATCTCCCTGGGGTGCAGGTTGTTGCATGATGTGGATGCCGGGCACCTGAGCTTCGTGGAGGAGGTGTTTGAGAACCAGGTCCGGCTGCCTGGAGGGCAGTGGATCCACATGACTGATGCCTACACTGACGTGGTAAGGATGACACAGGCAGTTGAGGGCAGAGTCACCCCCCAGGCAGGGGCAGGGAGCACCGGGGGTGCTCAGGGGAGATTTGGGCATCTCCTGGGTACCATTTGGTTGACAACATCCCTGCATCCCACAGAACGGGGAGAAGGTGCTGCCTAAGGATGAGATTGAGTGTCCTGCGGGCTGGAAATGGGAAGATGTGGAGTGGGACACTGACCTCAACAGAGCCGTGGATGAGAAAGGTATGGGAAAGCAATTTTGGGTGTCCAGGCCCTGTTTCCCATCCCCTTTGCTCTGCCCATCGTGGTGTTTCCTTTGATGACAGCAGCAGGGGTGTTAACAGACCCTTCATGGCTGTGAGCTGCCCTCTGGCTTCAGGAGAAGGAGATCAGACCCCGGGGGTACCCTCTCCCCTTTGCTCTGGGGCTGTGGGGTGGGGAGCCCCAGCGGCAGCGCTTTGCTTGCTCTGGGGATGGTCCGGGCTGTTCTTCTGGAAGATCTGGTGAAAAGGAAATGGAAAGCATCAGGCCAGAGAGCATCTGAGATGATCTCAAGGGCTGGGGTTGTCTGAGGGAGGAAAGACAGAGAGGAGAGTCCTGGAGCTGTGACTTTGAGCCAAGGGCTGGTGGGACACCATGAAGCCATCCCCAAAGGGACATCCCCGTTGGGTCCAGAGGGACCATCTCGCATCAGAACATCATCATCTGCGTGGACCAGCAAACTGGGATAAACCTTTGCTATTAAAGCTGTTCCAACCTGGACATGTGTGAAGAGAGGTCCCTGGTGGGGGGCTCTTCTCCCGCCTTCACCTCGGTGTCCCCTTCTCTGCCAGGCTGGGAGTACGGCATCACCATCCCCCCCGACCGCAAGCCCAAGGCCTGGGTGCCGGCCGAGAAGATGTACCACACCAACCGGCGCCGGCGCTGGGTGCGGCTCCGCCCCCGGGGCACGGCGCGCATGGGGGAAAAATGGGGTCGGGGAGAGGAGGGGGCCAGGGGCCGTGTCCCTGGTGGAGATGCACCCTCTGCAGAGACCTGCTGTCATTCGGAGCCTGGTCCTGTGGCCTCCGTGCTGGAGCCTCTGTGGTTTCCACCATGGGGTCAACATCTGGAAGTGGAGACCACTCCAGGGATGCTTGGTTGGGACAGAGACCTCCAGCAGTGCCACGAAGCAACTGGGGAGCCCGGGGCTGGCGGAGGTCCCCAGTTTGTCCCCTGTGCTAGTGCTGCTTCCCTCTAGGTGGTGCAATTGGACTGCAAATGGCACCACAGCACTGCCTCCCCCCAAAGCAAGTTCTCTTCCTTTTCCAGCACTTTTTCTGGATAATTGTGGATGAAAAGCATGGGGAACCCCTGCTACCACATTTGCCAAAGTGCCACAGGGAGGTGACACAGCTCTGGGGACCAAAAACCTTCATGGGCTTGTGACTGATGTCCCAAACAGGATGTCCCATGGTGCCAGAGCCGTGGTGGCCCTGGGGGGGATCAGAGGTGGTGGCAGAGCAAAGGGGACACTGGGAAGATGGAGATGCTGGTGCTACCCAGGTCTGGGCAGGATGTGGCCCCCTCCTTGCT